AGCACAGCTGAAAGCTCTAGAATAAAAAGAGGTAAACTCACCTGGGAGGAGTAGACACCAGGAAATAATCAAATTGAGGGCTGAAGTCAATGAAGTCGAAACAAAGAAAACAATATAAAGAATCAATTTAACAAAGAGTTGGTACTTGGAGAAAATCAATTGACAAATGTCTATCCAAATTAACTAAAAGGCAGAGAGAGAGATCATGCAAATTAACAAAATCAGGAATGAAAAGAGGGACATAACAGACACTGAGGAAATCCAGAGAATCTTCAGGTCATACTTTGAAAACCTGTACTCCACAAAATTCGAAAATTTAAAGGAAATAGACAATTTTCCAGATAGCTATCACTTACCAAAATTAAACCAAGAACAGATAAGCTATCTAAACAGACCTATAACCCCTAATGAAATAGAAGCAGTCATCAAAAGTCTCCCAACCAAAAAACAGCCCAGGCCCAGATAGCTTCAGTTCTGAATTCTACCAGATATTTAAAGAGCTAATTCCAATACTCCTCAAAGTGTTCCACACAATAGAAGCAGGAGGTTCATTGCCAAACTTTTTACGAGGCTACAATTACCTTGGTACCTAAGTCACACAAAGACACAACTAAGAAAGAGAATTACAGACCATGAACACTGATGCAAAAATACTCAATAAAATATTAGCAAATTGAATCCAAGAACACATCAGTGAAATCATTCACCATGATCAAATAGGCTTCATCCCAGGGATGCAGGGAAGGTTCAACATACAAAAATATATCAATGTAATTCACCATATAAACAAACTGCAAAAGAAAACCCACATGATCATCTCACTTGATGCAGAAAAAGCCTTCAACAAAATCCAACACCCCTTCATGATAAAGGTCCTGGAGAGATCAGGGATAGCAGGAATATACCTGAACATAATAAAAGAAATATACAGTAAACCAACAGCTAACATCAGACTAAACAGAGAGAAACTCAACGCAATTCCTCTAAAATCAGGAACAAGACAAGGCTGTCCCCTGTCCTCATACCTCTTCAATATTGTACTTGAAGTTCTAGCTAGAGCAATAAGACAAGAAAAGGAGAACAAGGGGATAAAAATTGAAAAGGAAGAAGTCAAACTTTCACTATTTGCAGATGATATGATAGTTTACATAAGTGACCCGAAAAACTACAGGGAACTCCTACAGCTGATAAACACCTTCAGCAGAGTGGCAGGATACAAGATTAACTAAAAAAAAACAGTAGCCCTATTATATACAGATGATAAATGTGCTGAGAAAGAAATCAGAGAAATATCACCCTTGACCCAGGAATGTTGCAATTGTGCACTGTTCAATTTCCATAAAGTTTGTAGGTTTTCTGCCATTTGTGTTGTTGAATTCTAACTTTAAAGCATGGTGGTTTGATAAAATACAGGGGGTTATTCTAATTTTTTTGTACCTGTTGAGGTTTGCTATGTTGCCAAGTATGTGGTCGATTTTAGAGAAGGTCCCATGTGGCACTGGGAAGAAGTTATATTCTTTTGTGTTTGGGTGGAATGTTCTATAGATGTCTGTTAAACCCAATTGGGTCATAACTTCTGTTAATTACTTTGTTTCTTTGTTAAGTTCCTATCTGGTGGTCCTGTATAATGGTGAGAGTGGGGTGTTGAAGTCTCCCACTATAACTGTGTGATTTGAGTTTTAGTAATGTTTCTTTTATGAACGTGGGCGCTTTTGTATTTGGGGCACAGATTTTCAAAATTGAGACTTCATCCTGATGGATTTTTCCAGTGACGAATATGAAATGACCTTCTTCATTTCTTTTGATTGATTTTAGTTTGAAGTCTAATTTATTCGATACTAGGATAACTACACCAGCTTGTTTCTTGGATCCATTTGATTGGAAAATCTTATCCCAACCTTTTACTCTGAGGTAATGTCTGTCTTTGAAGTTGAGGTATGTTTCCTGTATGCAGCAAAAGGATGGATTCTGTCTTCATATCCATTCTGTTAGTCTGTGTCTTTTCATAGGTGAATTGAGCCCATTAATATTGAGGGAGATTAAGGACCATTGAGTGTTAATTGAGTTGTTTTTGATTTGTTATGATGGTGCTATTATTTGTGGACTTAACCCACTTTTTCTTTTGGTTTTTGGTAAAGTTGGATTATCTATTGCCTATGTTTTTGTGAGCGTAGTTACCTTCCTTAGATTAAGTTTTCCTTCCAGTACTTTCTGTAGGGCTGGATTAGTGGATATGTATAGTTTAAGTCTAGTTTTGTTGAGGAATATCTTGTTTTCTCCATCTATAGTGATTAAAAGCTTTGCTGGGTATAGTAGTCTGGGCTGGCATCTGTGGTCTCTTAGTGTTGGTAGAATATCTATCCAGGACCTTCTGGCTCTCAGAGTTTCCATGGAGAAGTCCAGTGGATTCTGATAGGTTTGCCTTTATATGTTACTTAACCTTTTGCCTTTGCTGCTCTTAATATTCTTTATTCTGTATGTTTGGAGTTTTTATTATTATGTGGCAAGGGGACTTCCTTTTGTGATCCACTCTATTTGGTGTTCTGTAGGCTTCTTGTACTTTCATTAGCATGTCTTTCTTTAAGTTGGGAAAGTTATCTTCTATCATTTTGTTGAATATGTTTTCTGCACCTCTGAGCTGGGTTACTTCACCTTCTTCTATACCTATTATTCTTAGATTTGGTCTTTTCACGGTGTCCCATATTTCCTGGATATTTTGTGTTAGGGATTTGTTGGACTTAAGATTTTCTTTGGTCAATGAATCTTATTTCTTCTAGTGAATCTACAATGCCTGAGATTCTCTATTCTAACTCCTGTATTCTGTTGGTTATGTTTGCATCTGTAGTTCCTGATCGTTTACCCACCTTTTCTAATTCCAGCATTCCTTCAGACTGTTTTTTTTTATTGTCTCTATTTCAGCTTTCAAACCTTGCACTGTTTGTATTTTTTTGTTTGTCTTTTCTTCCATTTCTTTAAAAGATTTTCTCATTTCTTCTTTTAGGGTCTCTATCATCTTCATGAAGTTATTTTTAAGGTGGTTCTCTTCTGTTTCATCTGTGTTGTGATGTTTAGATCTTGCTGGTGTACAGTCCCTAGACTCTGGTAGTGTCATGTTGGTTTTTCTGTCATTGAATTTGTTCTTGTATTGCCATCTTCCCATCCCTTCTTCCAGTGGGTACAGGTGGGGTCTCTTCCTTTCCTGTGGTTATGGGTCCAAGGTTCTCTTCTGGTGGGTGTAAGCAGGTCCAATTCACTGAAGGGTCTCTCGGTGGATGCAGATGGGTCTGAGGCACTCCCTCTCCTGGTGGGTGGGACCTCTACCCTCTGCCTTCTGTCCTGAGTTGGGGCAGGAGCAGACCAGCTCTCTCAGCAGTCTCCTGGTCACTGGGTCCTGGTGGGGTGTGGGAGAGACACGAGTGGAGCTTGCTGCAGTCCCCAGTCCAGGAGATCCCAAAGAGGGCGAGCAGAAGGATGTTGGGACCTTGATGGGGGCCCGGAGCTCACCTCTGCCCTCTGCCCTGAGTTGGGGGCGGGAATAGACTGGCTCTCTCAGCAGGCTCCTGGTCACTCAGTTGTCCAGGAGTCTTACTTGCTGCAGTCCCCAGTCCAGGAGATCCCAGAGAGGGTGAGTAAAAGTTCAGGTCTAATCTAAGAAAATTATTCTTAACTGTCTTAAACATTAAGAAAACAAGTGTGTCCAGAAGCTTGTTTTAGCTGATTCTAGACACAGTCAAGTTGACAAACAAGCTTAGCCATGGTCACTTACATTTGGCTCCAGAAGAAACCTTTGTCTGCCATGCTATGAGAGCTGTTTCTTTTGTATTTCTTTTGTAACTATCTTGCTGCTGCTGCTTCCTTCACTGTTATTATAACCAGGTTTTTTTTTTTTAATTCTTGGTGTGGACTGATGACCAGCAGTTCCTTAAGAACCCTCCAGGCCTTCAGCACCAGATTGGGTTGGCTGAAGATTGATAGGTGCTGGACAGGCAGGATGGGAATCTCTTTAAGGCACCTGTTTGGCTCTGGTTGTCTGGCATTGGGTTTCCACATATCCAAATGTCTGCTTAAGCAGAACTACCATGGCTTTCACTTAAGAAATGTATACTGTATAATGTCCCCTCCCCTTAAGTGAGTTTCAATACTCTGTAAGTACCTACTTTGCTTTAAATCTAAAATATTAATTTGAACTGTAATCTACTATTCTCTGGAACAATTATTTTTAACTTGGCTATGTTGTCTCTCTTACATGCCTCACCATTTTTCCTTTACGTCTGCACATAAAATAGTATTTGCCTATGATGACTATCACAGTACGTCTGTTATTGGGGAGGCTGGCAGGAGTGGTGGCAGGGATGCTTAACTCAAACTAATGAGTCTAGGGTACAAATGTGTCTATGTGTGTGTCCGTGCATGTGTGAGGTAGGAGGTGTATGGGTTGGGAGTGACTTCTTACACAGGCCTCCAAAGTGCCAGGATTTCCCACAAGCATGAATGCTATGTTGGTTTGTAGCCCCCCCCCTTCTTCCATTTATTTATTGTTTTACAAGATAGGGTTTCACTGAGTAGTCTTGGCTGTCCTGGACCTCACAAAGATCTGACTTCCTCTACCTCCCAAATGCTGGGACTAAAGGTGTGTGTCACACCACCCATGTCCAACTTAGAGGATGTATCTTTCATCACATTTCAGATTATATAGCAAGTACTTTAATTTCAGCACATCACATTGAGACAGGTTCTACATTTTAATGGAAATTAAAGAATCTTAGTTACAGAGAATTTGGTGCACAAACTAACCTATGCTGAAGCCCCATTTAAAAGTGTGAGAAAGAGGAACACAGGGGAAATTACCCCCCCCAGGGTGTGTATGTAGGGGTGAGCACTACAGTTCATAACAGTTCAAAATCAACTCACATACCAGCTGTGAACAAACGTTCCTTTTTGTGCTTTTCACTGTAAATACTTTCCCTATCAGACACACAGGCCCACTCCAAGACACCATGTTAGGAAAAGAATACCTTTATTTACTTGAGCCAATAACAACTGTCATACACATCTAGATGACACAAGACTAATAAAGTATATAATACAATGTCTGAGGCTAGGAAGATATAGAGGCCAGAATGGCATCAAATGCAGGAAGTATCAATATACATTGCAGCATGTTACTACATTAATCAATGTACACTGCATCACATTACACAAAGTCATGGAGAGTCCCTTCTGCTTAGTTTCATCATGGTTGATATGACAAACTCATATCCATGAACCATACATACATGACTGTACTATCCAACATACTGTAGGCTGTCCAGCTATATCCCTGTATATGCCACTGGCCTCTCCCAGAATCTAGTTAGAACATCACAAATGTCCCCAGACAGAAACTGATGCCCACTGATAGGCAGTATTACCAATATTCATCTCCTGGCATGCAGATTCTGAAAAAAAACCTGGAATATGAGATTTAAAGTTTTTCTCCAAGAAAAATTAATGTACAGACTCCATAGTGATAATTTTCCTTGGTCAAGGATTTTTGAAATTTTCTTGAAAGGTTTCACACATAAAAGAAATGTGCACTCAATGATCTGTTTAATGGAAGATCCATACCAGAAACACACCTGGTGTTTACGGGAATTTTTATCAGGATTTCTTCTTCCCCACAAGCAGCATGAGAATGATGAGTGGCAACCAGGTCTCTCCTGATAGTCTTCTAAAATGACAATCTAGTTGTCTCCCCCACCTCTTACAGTGAATCAATAGCCGTGGGTCTGCATTATTACAGATTGTGCAGATCTCCCTTCCATACACTACAGATGGTAGAAACATGCAGGTGGTTCACAGCTCTCTGGACAACACACATTCCTAAGCCACAGTGCCTTTCTACACATGGCTCCCAAACATGCTAGACATTATCTGTGCTTCAGGCCAGCTGTGGATGGGCACCCAGGTGGAGTTTGTTGTAAGACTTTGGGGGACAGTGGGATAGAAATAAATAGAACACACGCATTTACATCCCACTAAAGAGCTTAGTAAGAGGTCTCAGAAACAGAAATGGACTGCAAATCACAGGCTGATGAGTACAGCAAAGAAAATAAATCTTGGGGCGTCTGCTTCCTGGAACTAAGAACTCTATGGGATGAATTCCTGCTGAGTGACTTCTTAGAAACACTGCCCACATTATTACCTACTTTACAGTGTCCCCTCTGTGCTAGTTCGAATGTTTCCTGAGGTCTGATTTACATTATTTATATTATGTGGCTTTTTCAGATACATATGGTGATTACTTCTGTGTGAGTGAAGGTCTGACAGCTAGTAAAAGAGTTTCCCACATACATGACTCATGTGCTTCCTACCAGAGTCACTGATGTTTAGAGAGGTCTACCTAGTGAAAAGGCATTTCCCTGTAGTTACTCTTGGGTTCCTCAGTACTGCAAGTTTTTTAATGCAAAGTGACTTGGCATCTCTTAAAGGGTTCTCTGCTTACATTATATTCAGCTATGTGTTTAGGGTTACTCACCTATGTGACTTCTTGCATGTACAGCAACAGATGGCTTATGGTTGAAATATTTCCTACAGTATTTATAGTCACAGGGTTTCTCAGTTTTGAGTTTTCAGGTGGACACAGAGGTTTGTCTTGAGTAAGTGTTTTCTGCACAACATTCATGGAGATGTCCCCATGTGTCTTCTTTGGTAAGCAGTCAAGAATGAGCTATGGTTGAAGGATTTTCTACATTCATAGGGTTTCCTTATAGGGTATAAATTACCTAATGACTGCTGAGATATGATATCTGGAGAAAGGTTTTTCAACATTTCACTATCTGTCTGTGTTTTAATGAACAATGAGTTGTATCTTATGGTTGATATTTTGTACATTTATATGCTCTTAAGGTTCTCATGTTTGTGAGTTCTCTGATGTATCTTTGGCTGGAATATTTTCTTAGTTTTTAATTATAAAAGTCTGTCACCTGCATGAGTTCTCTGATGTACCAGCTTGACATCCGGCAGAAGGTCTTTCCACATACACAAGACTGATGGAGTTTCTCACCACTAAGTTCCTAATAAACACGGAGAAGACTAGTGGCAGTGATTTGTTCTCCATTCTTCCAAGTCATAGGATTTCTCACCTGGGTGAGTTCTGATGTACACAGGTGTGAGCTCTGCTGAAGGCTCATCCACACACCTCTCACTGATAGTGCTTTTCACCTGAGTGAGTCCTCTGATGTCTGGTGAGATGGAACTTCAAACTAAATGATTTTCTGCACTGTCTACATTCATAGGGCTTCTCACTTGTATGAATTTTCTTATGTGTGTAGAGGCTGGGACTCTGCTTATAACTTTTGCCACACACAATACACTCATAGGGTTTCTCACTCGTGTGAGTTCTCTTATGTGCATGAAGGTGGGAATTCTGCTTAAAGGCTTTTCCACATACATCACACTCATAGGGCTTCTCACCCGAATGCGTTCTCTGATGTACAGTGAGATATGACTTAAGAATAAATGACTTCCTACATTCTTTACATTCATAGGGTTTCTCACCTGTGTGAATTCTTATGTGTGTGTAGAGACTTGTCCTCTGCTTGAAACTTTTCCCACATGTATTACATGCAAAGGGCTTTTCACCTGTGTGAATTCTCTGATGTACAACAAGAAATGACTTCAGCCTAAAGGTTTTCCCACATTCCTTGCAGTCATATGGCTTCTCACCTGTGTGAGTTCTCTGATGTGCATTTAAGTGGGCTCTTTTGTAAAAGGCTTTCCCACATACATTACATACGTAGCGCTTTTCTTGCGTGTGAGTTTGCTGATTCACAATGAGTTTTGTCTGCTGACAGTCTTTACATTCGTAGGGTTTCTCAGCTGTGTGAGCTCTTGAATGTGAGTAGACACGTGATGTATGGTTAAAGGTTTTCCCACATGTATTACATTCATAGGCTTTCTCATATCTGTGTGGTGTCTCAAGTTGGAGGTCTGACTTACTAATTGTTTTTCCGGATATACTGTACTCATGGGATTTCTCATTTTTGTGAGGACTCTGTTGAGCACTGTGATTTAATTTTGAGCATACAGTTTTCCCATACACATTCCTTCTATCCTCCATGATTCTCTGCTGAACACTTTTTTCTGATTTCTGACAAGTGTACTTCTCATCTTCATTACATGTATAAGGCTCTTCTCTCACATCCAAACACTGATGTTTTGGGAGGTTTGATTGTATATTGAATACTGGCTCACAATCATTACCTTTATAACATCTCTTTTCTTTGTGTGCTTTTAAGTGTTGTGTGAGATGACAATTTTTATAGAACAATTTTCCACATACTTTACATTCATAAGTTTGCTCTTGTACCTGGATCCCCCCTTGGGTAAGAAAAGCTAACTTTTCTAATCCTTTCCTGTAGTTCCTCAACTTACTGGAGGGATCTCTGATAGGAAATGCATCCTGTAACCACACTGTCTTTGTGTGAAAAGCTTCACCGTGCCCACAATACTGGAAATGCTGTTCTTTACATTTAGTACTGTGATATAGACTAAGAGGCTCAGGAAGTTTGGGGGACATCCTGGTTACATTAGGAAGATCAAATTCCTCTACAGCCTGCATCTTACTGGGCTCACTAGGGAGAAGCGCATTACCCCACATATTAAGTGCCCCAGGTCTCACTCCAGAAGACACGCCACTCTTTACAGCCAGCCTTAAAACACAGTTTGAGCTAGTAAGTGTTTTTCCTGCTTTAGCCCTCTCCTCAGCTGATGTGCTGCTCTTGGCAATTACCAGATTGCATCCACGTATCTGTCGATTGTCCTGGATGATCTCATTTGGGTCATTCACATGCTGCATATCTAGAAGAAATAAAAAAGGAAAGACTTTCTGGTTAGTACATATACAGATCAACTTTAGTACACTTGTCTGTTACCTAAGAAAGAATTTCTTGATGGAATAGTGCAGATACTTCCAGTGTTTTTCAAATACTAATAACTTTCCTCCATATACAGAAGAATAGATTTTTTGTGTATGAACATAGCAGGTGCTGAGTTCCTTGCCCAGTAACATTTGAATAGTTTAGATGACAATTGCTTTTTCTCTTTTCTTTTCTTTTTTTCCCTTTCTTTTTTTTTTTTTCGAGACAGGGTTTCTCTGTATTGCTTTGGAGGCTGTCCTGGAACTCACTCAGTAGACCAGGCTGGTCTCGAACTCACAGAGATCTGCCTGTCTCTGCCTCCCGAGTACTGGCATTAAAGGCATGCACTACCAACATCCAGTTAGAAGAATAGATTCTTAATATTCCTAATTTAATCTAAATTGAATATAACTCATACGGAAATCTGCAAACATTTAGTTCTCTAAGCCAAGGTGTACTCACAATACTGGAAATTACACAGGTTTGACATGAATAACTGACACTTTCCTATCCATGTGAACACAGACATGCTGACCCATAAAATCATACTTCTCCATGCCTTTATTTATGCTTTGGCATTTTGACTATGTTAAACTAAAAAAAAAAAAAAAAAAAAAAAAAAGAAAGAAAGAAAGAAAGAAAAAAAAAAGAAAGAAAAAGAAAAAAAAAAAGGAATTTCCTGAACAAATTAACTGCACGTATCAAATCAGAGTGATTTTCACAAAGCAAAAAGTGGAAGGCTAATTACTTAGTACAACCCTTCACAAAGATGAGCCCAGAAACAAGCAATCTGTGGATCATTTGACCTTCCAGTCCAAGGTCTCCTTGATGTCACACTAAGCTCTAGATGTATCCCATCCTAGAATCTGTCCTAGGTGCCTCTTAGATTCACAGATGCTGCTATCATCATATACATGATTTCATTTCCAGCATCTTTTCTCATATTCTATCAACCCTTGGTGAGCTGCCTAAAGAACTGTTTTTAGTATTAGTTTTAAACTAATAACATCAAAATTGGATTCTTAATAAAATAATAAGCACTCCTGAGAGTTTTTGTCCAACTATACATTGCATATTTTGTCCAACTATACATCAGCAGTCTAAAATTAAGTCAAAAGAAAGTGATAATCTTAAAATTGCATGTTCTTTAGACCTTAATTATCTTTTTTTTTCTTCTTTCATTGAGGGAAGATTTTGGGGAAGGGGTGATGATTTTTTTAAAATGCCAAAATTTCTATTTCTCAACACAAGAGAGCTCTTTAGCCTGTTTGTTCCAGAATAACAAACAAGTGTACAAGAGGGAACAAATAACAAGTGATAAATACATGAATAAATGGTCAAATCAGACTATAAAAATGAGGAAAGAACAAGTAAGAACATAAATAAAATATCCAACAAATATATATGTCTAAGAACAACCACAGGTTGAACAGAATTTTTTTTCACCTAAGAAAATATACTACAGAAACTAGAAAGGGGGAATGAATTGATATGTGAAGGCTTGAACGGAATTTGCTAAGCCCAAGATAATACATGGCAAAAATAACTAAAGTGGTATGATGGCTAATCTTGGTTGTCGACTTGACTACATCTGGAATCACCTAAAACCCAAGCAGCTGTACACACCTGTGAGGGAGGGATTTTCTGGATTGTATCATTTGACAGAAGGCCCACTTTAAATCTCAGCCAAACAGTCTGATGGCAGCCCATATAAAAGGTCATGGAAGAAGGAAGCTTTTGCTTTTTGCCTGCTTGCCCTTGCTCTCACTGGCAAGTGTATCTATCTTGCTGTTGAGGCATTCCTTCACTGGTTTTAGACCCTCTTCAGGATTCCAATGCATACTGAAGACAGAAGCTCTTTAGGAATCCTCAGAGGCTCCAGCACAAAACGGTACTGTTGAGACATCCAGTCTCACTGACCTGACTGAACACCTACCTTATCTTTCTGTTGGGACAGCCTTCGTGGGACTACTTGGGCCATATGCACTTACACGAAGAGCCTCCCTGGCAGACTGTACATACTGACTGTTGGATGAGTAAGAACACTCATTCTCAAGTTTGGATCATGGGAAGAATGATGACCTTCCTCAACCTGGCAGCCCTGTCAGGGCACATTCACTGACCTGGGAGGCTCTGGTTTGGGATATCTTCTTCCTTCCATGGCCCAGCTTCTTGTTCCAACTTCAGGATCAACTCAGGTTTGGGATCACACTGGTCTATTAAAAGGAAATATTGTATCACACTGGTCTATTAAAAGGAAATATTGTACAAGTTTTGGCTCACTGCTAAGTCAGGTAGATTAAATAATGACTATAATTTGGGCTGGAAAGATGGCTTGGAGGTTAAGAACACTGGCTGCTCATGCAGATGACTTGGGTTTAATTCCCAGAACCCAAATAGAGGGTCACAACTGCCTCAATCTTCAGTCCCAGGGGACCAGATGTCCTCTTCTGGCTTCTGAAGGCACTATATTCATGTTGTGCACAGGCATACATGCAGGTAAAACTCACATACACAAAATCAACATATACATTATTATGGGCATTGGGCAGTGACAGGACCAATGAGAACATTTTATGCGAGTTTTAAGAACATCCACAGAGTCAACCAAAACAGATCAATCCCCAAGGTGTACTACAGTCAACTATGAAAAGTCCAAACAGGACTGGAGAGATGGCTCAGTAGTGAAGAACGAATGCTTCTCCTGCAGAGGTCCAGAGTCCAGTTCCAAGCACTAACATCAGGTCGCTCACAAACAACTGTAAACTCCAGAGGATATACCTTCCTCTTGCATCCTCTGTGAACACTATATTCACATACATGTACACATGGACACATATTATTAAAAATATCATTAAAAGAACCCTACAAAACAAAGAACTCTAATCATGAGAATCAGCATGTGGCACTTTTTTTTTTTTCAGACAGGGTTTCTCTGTGTTGCTTTGGAGGCTGTCCTGGAACTCGCTCAGTAGACCAGGCTGGTCTCGAACTCACAGAGATCATCTGCTTCTGCCTCCCGAGTGCTGGGATTAAAGACGTGTGCCACCAATGCACAGCCTTTTCCTTCCTTCCTTCCTTCCTTCCTTCCTTCCTTCCTTCCTTCCTTCCTTCCTTCCTTCCTTTTATATAACTTTAGCACTGAATTTTGAGGAAAAATCTACAGAGATAGATCTTTTGTATTTTGTTTTTTCAAGACAAGTTTTCTCCATGTAGCCCAGGACAGCCTGGTCTACATAGTGAGTTCCAGGATAGCCAGGGCTATGTTGAGACCCTACTCAAAAAACAAACAAACATTAAAAAAAAACCCCAAATAGTAGCCTGGAGAAATGGCTCAGCAATTAAGAATACTTGCTACTCTTGCAGAGGATCTAAGTTTGATTCCCAACAAACACATGGCTGCTAATGACTGTCTGTAATTCCAGTTCTGGGGGCTCCAATGTTCTTTCTGACCTCCGTGGGCACTGCATGCACATGGTGCACACACATACATGGAGGTAAAATACTCATATAAAAAATAATAAAACAAATCTTAAAAAAAAATACAGCCCGGGAAAAAGCTCAGGGCTTGGTAATTACCTATACTGCAGAAGACCCAGTTTGATCACTAGCATAAAAAACAATCCCTGGAAGTAGTTCCTGTAGTACCAGAAAGGAATAGCTTCTGAAAGGATTACTGGGAACTTTCACTCACTCAAGGACAGCAGGCTGCTGTAGGTCTCCAGCATCACGTCCCTGTAAAGCTTCCTCTGAGCATCATCCAGGTTCTGCCACTCCTCCCAGGTGAAGTCCACAGAGACATCCTCAAATGTCACCAACCCCTGTGATGAAACAACTTTCCTCAGTCCAAGCCACCTTCAATCTCGAGTCAGAGACAGGAACACAGGAGGTCATTCCTCTCCACAAGCATCGTTTACACAAGATATACATACAAGTTTTCTTATCATGGAAGAAAAATTGTCTATAAAATGTCTTACAAACATACTAATTTAGTAATGATGAGAGACAAAAGGCAGAAAACAACTGTAAGCAATTGATAATCCTTTGGTTCCCCACTTAAATACCTCTGACTCCAACAATTACAAATCTAAGTAGTCAATGTTGGCTGTGCATCATTTATAAAGTACAGTCATAGGCACCCACATATGCCCTTCCAAAACTTAGAACTGAGAGATCCAACAAAATAAATATCACTAGCATCCCATAAGGCAATATATAAGCAAGGCTTGACATTTTGAAAGTCATCCCATGAGGAGACAGGGGAAGGTCTTAAGGCAGAGACTCTACAATTTCCTTCACTTAACAATTTCCACACTGGGAAACAGAGCACTAGGAACACAGAACCAAAGATATGCAATGTGGTAAGGCCCACAGATCCCACTCCTATGGAAGGTTGAGGCACAGGGACCAAGAGCTGGAGGACAGGCAGACAAAAGAGGAAGCAAGGAACTGGGAACTCATCAGAGAAGGAAACACAAAGCAGCAACAGAAAATACAGAATAGCATTTTCATTAATTTCCTTGTCTTTGATAAAAAGACCAGCTTGTTTCCAAGCTTTCTATAAAAGCCATTATATAGGAACTGATGTGTTAACTATGTGACATGAGAGAAGGGGGACGATTTGTGAGAAGGAAACAATAGATTTTTTTTTCCCCCTGTGGTTTTGCTAACCTGTAAACAACCGTTTTCCCATGATAACTTGTTTCCTAATGTCTTTTGGAACACAGTCAAATTAAGGTGGTATGTATAGACCCAGAACAGAACATATACCTCCATTCCTACTTCACTTCAACTCAGTCAGGACTAGCTGACACTGTGTATGGAAATATCTGCAGAAGTGATTTGTCATCTCTGATTACCTTTTTAAGCTAGTGCCTAGTACCTGATTTAGACAAAAAACAGCATCCAGACTTGTGAATGAGAAAGAGAGGGAAAGGGGTCCTTGTTCTCTGAGCACACTACATCAGAAAGACTTTCATTCATCATTGGCAAAGACCAATCTTCCTGGGAAGCAGAGTAAGAAGTTCCTTAACTTGGAGAGTAATGACCAGGAGCTACCAGGGCACAGATTCAGAGCCTCATCTAAGAAGGTGTTCAATCTTCAGGGTTAAGGCCATCCACCACACCTGTCCAAGACTCAAGACTGTAGTGAAGATGATGTCACCTCTGATGACCTTTTGAAGCTGGCACTTGGTTTTCTGCTCTTTTCCTCACTGAGCAGCAAACTCCAGGAGGCTGCTCTGTGAAGTTATCATGGTCATAGATTTAATATACACCTTGCTTATGTAACTTCACAAAGCTCAAGTTGTTGCTTATCGAAACAGAGACAGCCATCAGCTAGAGAAGATTCAGTCCTGAGGATGGACCAGGGAATGCCACAAACAAACACTGATGAACACTCACATATGCACACCGAACCAGGTTTACAGCTTACACTGACTCTGGGTCAGAACTGTTCTACTTTTAATTTCTAGTGAGGAAATATCTTTCTAAAAGGAAGTAGAGTCAAAAAACACACAATAATAAAAGCCGAGAAATTTGAAGTCATAAACATTGATGTTAGATCCCAAGACAAAGAAATAGCAGCCACAAAAAGATGCAGTCAATTCTAAAAATGTTTACTTCCTAATGCTACACCTTAGAAAAATTACAGAAAAAAATTAACATCCAAAATATTTGCTTGATATATGTAGACATACACAAAAACATTCCTGAAAAGTGATCTACCACAGCTACATCCTCAGACATAAACATATTTGTTATAAAACAAAATAACTGACATCACTAGTCTTCATTTCTTTAACTGGGTATGTATGTATGTATGTATGTATGTATGTATGTATGTATGTATGAGCTGTCTATCTTATTGTAGTACTCACTCTATTTCCCCAGCCTTCAGCAAATGTCTCAGCAGGCCTTGTTTCTCTACTAGAAGAGCTGACCCACACAGTCATAACTGAAGTGTTTAGACTATTTGAAGTTCTGTTTGATGGGGTTGTTTTGGCTACAAGAGGGCATAGTTACACTAAGAGATGCCCTTAGTGATCTCCTATATGCTAGGCATACTCTTCCTTTCATGCTTCGAATATGGAATATTCCCTACAGGCTCACTGTTTTGGGCATGTGATCCAAAATGTGCAGTGCTACTTTGAAGGCTGTAGAGGGTTTAGGTGGTAGGGTCTGGCTGTTGGGAGTAGACTAGAAATGGGGTGTCTTCGACGGTTATACCTGCCCCTGGTTCCCACTTCTCTCTCAGGTTCCAGGTCTGCCATGGTGTGAACAGCTGCTCCTCTTCACACTTTCACCTCCACTGATGGAGCCACTCCAACCTGCCATCACTGCCATGATGGACTGATAACCTCTGAAACAATGAGCCAAAATAAATCTTTCCTCCCCTAAGTGGTTTCTTTCAGGTATTTATTTGGTCACAGCAAAACAAAAGTATTAACATCTTCCCTTATCTCCATTGTAGACTGGCTCGATTTTCCCTTGGTAATCTAGATTCCTCAGGAAAACTATCACTAGCACCTTTTCCACCTATGCCTTAGAGTCATAAGAAGAAAAGGCTTGTGATAAAATCAGTCCCTCCAGCTGAATAGACTCATGGTTGTGGCCTTTGGTAGAAGTACTGCTCCTAGTCAATATAAGACAGTTAGGCTAGTAGGGCATGTGGCTATGGGAACAGAAACAAAACAATGGTCCTAGTGGCTGGGGGTGGTGGTACACACCTTTAAGGCCAGCACTTGGGAAACACAGGCAGGTGGTCTGTGAGTTCAAGACCAGCATGGTTTACAGAGCAAGTTCCAGGCCAAAAACAGTCACATAGATCCTATAGTAAAAGTTCCTAGTGCTAAGTATTTTACTTGTAAAGACTTCTACTTAGATCATTTCTGATGAAGTTTGACAGAAGACACAAATGCCTTTATTTCTTTCTACCATCCAGATAATATGCCAACATTATTGTTCTCTAAATGTCCTTGGCCTCAATTTTTGAATCCAGTGTTCCTTCTAATCTACTGACCATGAACCTGAGACACTGTGTAGGCCAGTTAAGGTCAGAGAGCAGGGTACTCTTCTCATCTTTACCTGCAGATTCCTACACTCTAGTTTCTGTCTATGGGAAACATCAGGCAAGCTGTATAGTCTTTGTAGAGAGTCCTGCCTTAACCCCGTAGGGACTTCAATCTAGCTGGTCCTGTTTCCTGCATTTAAAAATTATGTCAAGACATTTTTGATCAAGGATTATACTTTGTATGATCTACAAACTAGATTGAAGTATTAACATGAAATAGATAAGCAAGGTATGTACATTATTCAGATGTGTGCTCCCATTTTTACTTATGCTCTGTGTGACTTTCACATGGCTCATACACAAATGGTATTCCCCCTCCCCCACTAACTTCTGTTTTCTCCACTTACTCTCAAGGCCTTCACCACACCCACTTGCTAGAAGTACAGCTCATCAGCACTCAGGCATCACCACTGAGGAACTAACCCTTCCAGCCTAGCAGAGATGGACAGTTCCAATGAGAGCAGGAAAGAATCTACTTGTCTTTAGACAACCACACTTCCTCACCATCTACAGCATCGCATGCTGCCACTGGAACAAGAATGAACAACAAAGTTAGCAGGAACTGTAACTCATAACATTAGACCTTGGGGAGCAAAGGAGGGGAAAGGAAGTGGAGGGAATAAAAAGAAGGGTCCAGAAAAAGAAAGAAAGAAAAAATTCCCTTTTTTCAGCATACTCTCAAGGCCACAAGGTAGACTGGTATTCAGTACCATATACAAGGAAAAATAGGAGGATATGACTTCTATTTTGACAAAGAGTTTGATGTGCCCTTGTTTATCAACACAGGGTTAAACTTATGATTTGAAAGCTAAACAAGTGGTCCATGCTACCAAGAAATAGTCACTAAACTCAAACCAAAGAGCTGGGTCACAGAAGTCCTCTAAGGAGGAATGAGAAAGGAACGAGCAGAAGAAAAGGATAAGCTACGATAAGGAGAAAAAGAACTCAGAAAATAGCTAAGAAAGCATCATCAGCATCAGAACTGAGATGAAGACCTTCCCAGTGAAGATGATGGGAAGAACTCTGCAGCATGGCAGCAGATGTAAGTAAGGCAGCTGGCAGAGAACACTGTTTCCATTTGATTGTGATGAAAGGCTGAGAATCGGAACCAAGGGTACAGTGAATAGGAGTAAAAACGCAAATGGTAAAGGCAAATTATTACTAGAAACATATGTTTGGATATTGTTATCATCTACATGTACACACAAGCAGAGAAATCATGGGAGAGAAATGAAGGACACACAGTACATTGTCTTCATACATTCTAGGTCTCATCTAACATAAGTGGGGTCTTCCAAAAGTTGTCTGGAACTATACAACTTTAGCCAACAAAGAAAACCTCTGTGAATCGATCTTTGTTTGAACACTTGTGAACTGACACTGTTGAGTGCTGTGTTCATCTCAAGCCTGGGAGATGAAGCTCTGTCCCATCAGGCATGTGTTCATGAAGCTTGTTTGGACTTCAAAGGACAAGAGAAGTTGGCACTTTCTGAGTCAATCCAAACCCTACAACAAACAGACCATATAAGGAAAACCGGAGACCAATTTGAATGTGATCACTCTACAAAAGTCCTTATATTGCTAGATGGTGGAGGTGCACACCTTTAATCCCAGCACTTGGGAGGCAGAGGCAGGTTAGTTCAAGGCCAGACTGTTCTACATAGTAAGTCCCAGAATAGCTATCTGTCTCAAAAACAAAGAACCAACAACACATCCAATGCTATCATCTGCATAAGTCTATCTTACATAAGTTTATTCTTCCATTCTGATTTTCAAAAGTCTTAAAATACAACAAAAAACAAGGTGAGGCTAACTATAAACTTACCTCAGATGTGTCCATTGTCCTAACTCTTTGAGACATGAGAGGATTGCACAATCACAACTAGAAGAGAAGGTTAACAGAAATTAACTCACTAGATATGCCTTGCTTTCAGATCTTAATTCACAAAAACAGGAAGAAAGCTACATGACAACAAAAATGTCTCCTTGTGTAGAAATAGTGTGTTATACATGACAACTGCCACAACAGATTTTGCTGAAGGAACACCAGTCATTTTATTAAATGGTAAAGATTCATCATTCAATTATACATAGGCTAATGGAAATATCTGCTGCTTGCTTAATAACTATGTTATTCTGAAGTGATTTAATGTTTTAAGGTTAGGTGTTTAATGAACATTATTGAGTCAGAGAAATTACAGAATGCTACTTAGACAATATTACTTAGTTTCCTGTCAATTTAGTAGAGCAATAAAATGTACCACACAGAACTGTCCTATTAGCACATGTCTTGTTTCACATATTTAAATTTCACACAAAGCATGTCTCATCTGATCTAGATGGTGTCCTCTCAAGACTACACCAGCAAAACTGAACACTGAGTGTAGTCTTGAGAGGACTTTGGCATGTCTCTCTGCACTCAGGCCTAAATTCACTTGTTCTGGCCAGTTTAGCTACAATAAATGAGTTTTCCTGGGGGAACTGGCTGAGATGATAACTTTGTGTCCCTACATACCACTTCTACACCGTTAAAAAAAAAAAAGGAGTATTAAGGGTTTTCAGAACACTAGAGATAAACTACCATAGGCTCCAGGAAGTCACAGTTCTGAGTGTGGGTCCAAAGGAACCACAATAAGACAGCTCTTCTTCTCCGCGAACTATTGCCGTGCCATAGCTTTTCCCTTCAGACACAACAGGTCTCTACTGTCACTGTGAAATAGAGATGCCCTTGGCAATGAAACAGGAAGGCAGTGATAGCTAAGTCTCTGGTAACACTCCAAAGTCACAGGCTCCCTCACCTAGGATTCCAGCCATCGCTTCCCTCTCAACACCCTCTCCACCAGCTTTTCCCTCACTAATTGGTCAAGGGTTCGACTCCTCAATGCCGTCCTCTCTAGTGAAGCCCTCACAATGAAACATTACAAGGACAGTCTGCAAAGTCCTTTTGAACTGCAGCGTGGGAACACACTCACTAGACAACCTGGTGGAGGAAGGATTACGCCCAGGAGCCGCAGGAGACGCCTCAGGAGCAGGGTCCACTTGCGCGGCCCTGGCCAGGCTGAGCACAGCTTCCGGAATAGGGGGGTGGGGCTGGGGGGAAGAGGCGGTGGGCTCAACCCCGCACAGGTTCCCAGCCCAGCGCCATCTGCACCCGGAACAGTCGAAGAGCTGACGACCGACCCCAGCCAGCTCCCGCGGGTTCCCCATAGGCTGCACTCACCTTGGTGGCAAATGTCAGCTTCTCTGTGGCTAGAACGTAGGGCCAAACAAACAGACACCAACCTCGCCTCCGCCGAAACCGGAAGCAACATGGCGGAGCCGGAGACAGATCTGGAAAGTATGCCCCACCTCGGAGCGTGGGTTTGATTGGACAGATCCAGGGTCTCGGCTATGATTGGATAGAATATCTTGAGTGACAGTAAACCGTACCAATCGTTAACGGAACAAAGGCTGACTGGTGGATTCTACTTAGAACTTTAGTCTGTGATGCTGTAACTTAAGACTCTTCCTACTTAACCCTACGACATCATTAAGTATGTTTCTTTCTCTGCCTGGTTATTCCATTTAGCATGACGCCCTTCAGGTTAATCTATGTCGTCCAGAGTGACAAGGTTTTGCTATTTTTTTGAGATGCATTCCATTGTGGACATTCACGTTTCCTTTTCATATACCTGTGGATGAACACAAGTAATTTTAACACCTTGACCCCTATGGATAGGGCTGCAATAACTATAGCAGCGGAGGAATCTCTGGCACATTGGCCTGAAATCCTTTATTTATATGTTTAGAATTGGACTTGCTGGTTGTCACAGTAATTGCATTTCTGTTTTGAACTGCCATATGGGAGCTGGAACCACATACTCATTTCTATAAAGTGAAATAATTATATATTTGACCAAAAGAATGTCAGGTAGGAGGAAGTGTATATTTATTTTGAGTTCTGCATAATAAAGTTAAATATTCATCCAGGTCTCACAGTCAGTTATTTGTTGGTCATGCTTCCATCAGCAACATCTCAAAGTCGGGACTTGGGAGGTAACTCGCCTGTCTCTAAACCCTTGTCTTTCCTTCTCTACTTTGAAGATAGGGTTCCCAGTGAATGGAGATGTGGCTTGTGTAGAACTTTCCCTCAGGGCGGCAAATGTTTCCATATGGAACGGGTCACTTCTATTATTTGAGCTTCATAACAGTACCAGGCATAGTCCTTGCCAGCTTCTGTGATGTACTTCAGGCTCTGAGTACCATCCTTAGATTACCAGGTCACCACAGAGTCCCTGTGTGACAAACTTCAATGTGAATGCAAGGAGCTATCCCTAAGCCTGGGGACAGTAGGAGGAGAGGTAGAGACAAAATGCCCAGGATGCGTTTTCATTCCAAGGTCTCCTCACATGGTCTCTATACTCAACAACCTGCATGGATATCAATCATCTTATTCATTCATGAAATCAAGATACAAAATGTAGCTTTTAAAGAGGGGAGAGGACAGTGAGTATGTCTATTAAAACAAAAAGTTCTTGTGAATTATTTAAGGTAGAAAGTTTGTATTTCTATCCGAGATACTGTTTTTTAAGTGTTGAGTAGCGAAGATTGAAGTCAGAGAATGTTTGCCTTTGAGGTAGAGATTTGGTAAGAAATGAGTCTAAATTAATATGTTCCTCCAGACCTCATGAACCAGAAAATTGGGGAAGAAAAATGATATCAGAAATGAGTATAGAAGCATTTGTATCCTTCATGTTTTTCTGAGAAAGTGAGTTTATCATAGTATTTCAACATGTTTCTGTTTTTGATTTTCTCTTTCATGTGTATATATGTGGTGTGCTTGTATGTGTGTATGCATGTTTGCATTTGTGTGAGTGTGTGTATCTGTGGGTGGTGGCCATTACCATCCAAGCCATCTTGCTGGCCTTCCACGCTCCTCAATGTCTTAATTTTTAGTTTGCATGTATCTATATGTTTATTTAAATGGAATTATAGATAGAATGTAGTTGCAATTTTTAAAAATCTAATCTATTTTTTTAAGACAAGGTCACCCTGAATGGCCTAGAATTCACTATATAGTCCAGGCTAGTCTCAAACTCATAAAGGTCTGACCGTCCTTCTATGAGCAATTATGCACGGCTACTCTGTCTCTTAATGCTATATTTTGATAATTTATACTTAAATAATTATTTACAGAATTATATTTAGCTACCATATTTGTAAATGTTTCATAATTATTTTTCCATTTTCTCCTTTTCTATTTTTTAATTTTCATTTTTTTTCCTTTAGCATTATAGTTATATTTATTTTTAAAGCACTAGCGCATGTCCTTGAGCTTCTAAAATGCATATTTTTAAAAACTTAGGCCAATTTAAAAATAGCACTGTACCAACACTTTTTATGTAATGCAATACATAAGAGAATATCCATTGTATATCATGCAACATTAGATAAAACATTACCTATCAGAAAGCATTAAAAATAAATTGTGCACCTTCACATTCTCCATGTGTGTTAGATTCTGTCATCTGGACTACATGAGAAAACATATTATTTTTGTATAATTTGATGATAATTTAAGAAAGGGTAATATCCAAACATTATGACTATTTAAAGCCACAGATTATGATCACATTTTTTCTTTTTGAGATAAAAGTTAGTTTTCTTTTTCTTTTCTATTTTTCCTTACTTCTTTTTTTTAATTTTCAAGACAGGGTTTCTCTGTGTAGCCTTGACTGTCCTGGAACTCACTCTGTAGACCAGGCTGTCCTCAAATTCACAGAGATCCACCTGCCTCTGCCTCCCCAGTGATGGATTTAAAGGTGTGCAACACCACTGCCCAGCTTAAGAAAGTTAATTTTCATTTATTTTAAATGTTAGACTTCAGTTGTTTGAGTTGAGATTAATAGCACCCAACACTAATGTAAGTTTTGAGAAACAAAATGATAAGTACACCAAGATACTGAGTTGGGGTAAATGATTGTTACAAAGTAAGAAATAGGACTCAGACTTCTTACTGAACACTAAAGCCTTGTGAATCCTTCTTAGTATTCCAAACTTGGGAAGCTGAGGCCGGGAAAGGAGGAGTTCAATTAGCACTACAGAACTATTTCTGAAATTACATGGGATGAGACCACATTGCTCATAAATTGATTTGAGTAAATTTTTAATTAGAAAAGAACTTAAATACTTCATTGAAGAGTGGACAGTATTCAATTATAAATACATAAACACTAAGGCAAAGCCGTGAACTAAGAGACAAGGGTCTGTGATAGAATCACATTGCAGAGCTTGTCAGAGAGACAGTGACATTGGCAGTGAGAATCAGTGTTCCTGAAGTGTGTAAAACCAAAAATGTACATCTGAGAGTTTTGGTGAAGATACTTAGGGCTGACATAATAAAATCGCTTTTCTGATCAGTAGAAGACATCCAGTGGAAATCCAACAACAGTACATTTTCACAGTGCTCCTGAGAGTCAAACAGCCCCTACTGGCTGGCATTTTCTTGTGTATAAAGGTTCTGCAAACAGACATGAGACTGGCAGTTAGAAAGCATATTGTTGAACACAAACCACCAATCAGCTTCATCAGCCGAATATAGGTCAGAGGCCTCTGATGTCAGACCCATATTTGTTTGTTTGTTTGTTTGTCTTTTTGCCTCAAGAATCCATCTAGGTATAATTTTTCACTTGATTTAGCCTTTCAGTTTGTTATTTCTTAGAAAAGTCTGAACACATTTAATTTTTTAATGCAACTATTTATGTGCATATCTATATGTAAATAAGTACACATGGGTCTGGATGCCCATGGAAGCCAGAGGATGATATAGAATCCCCTGGAGCTGAAAGGTCATTGCAGGGACTGTGGTGGTGGCTTCCAGCAGATTCTGCAATGGACCTGATCAGCAATGTCAAATGTCACAAGAAAAGGAAAGGGAGTATGGTGTGTGTGTGTGTGTGTGTGTGTGTGTGTGTGTGTGTGCGCGCGCGCGTGTGTGTAACACTTGGCTCCAGCAACATCTATTAGACACTGTAGTCTTGTAGGACTCAGTACTTTATTCCACAATAAAGTTTCTGCAGAGCAAACTTCATATCTTTGTTCCGCAGACAATAGACAACCGGATTCAAAGAAGGAGTGAGGACAGAGTAGAAAATAGATGCCAAGCGACCCTGGGTCGGGGAGTACCGAGAGGCCGGTCTTAGGTACACGAAGCTTCCAGTTCCATAAAACAAGACGACTGTGGTCAGGTGAGAGGAGCAGGTGGAAAAGGCTTTGCACCTGCCATCCACTGAGGGGATGCGAACAACCGTGGACACGATGCCGACGTAGGAGAGGACCGTGAGGAAGAAGGAGCTCATGACGATGCAGCTGCTGACAGCGAAGCCCACCTCCTCGTTGAGGTGGTGATCAGTGCAGGACAGTCTCATGACGGGAGGGATATCACAGAAGAAGTGCTCAACAACATTGGGTCCACAGTAGGGGAGGGAAAAGGTGTTGAAAGTGTGGAAGGCTGAGTAAATGGCGCCACTCACCCAGGCAGAAGCCACCAGCTCAGCACGACATTTCTGGCTCATGATGGTTCCATAGAGCAGTGGTCTGAGGATGGCCAGGAACCGGTCATAAGCCATGGCTGTGAGCAGGAAGCATTCAGTAGCAGAGAGTGTGATAAATATGTAAAGCTGTGCTACACACTCGAGATAGGAGATGAGCCCTGAGCCTGTGAAGGATATAACCACTGCCTTGGGGATGGTGGCTGAAGTGTAGCACATGTCCAGGAAAGATAAATTCTTCAGGAAGAAGTACATGGGGGAGTGGAGCCTACTGTCTCTCATCACAGCTGTGATGATGGAGATGTTCCCCAGGAGGCCAAATGTGTAGACCAGCAAGAAAAACGGGATGACCACCAGTCTCAGCTGTGGGACATCTGAGAAGCCCCTGAGGATGAAGTGAGTCACTCTTGTGTGATTGGACATGTCTTCTCAAATTGTGTGTGAATGCAGGGACCACACAGCTAAGGGAGGGGACAGAAATAGGAGGCAGGCTCAGAACATGTGTGTGCAGCTCCATAGTGTCTACAGTCAGGGCTTTCATCAGAAAACCAACACCATGAAGCAGCTTATGCAAATGACATTTCAAAGAACTGAGGAGGAAGAGGAGAAGGAGAGGGAGGAGAAAGGGGAAGGGAGGAGATAGAGCAGGGGAGAGAGGGCACACCTGCCAAGTTCTCTTGCTCTTAAATTTTCCATGGAGTCAAGTGGGAAGCAGTCCCATATATTTGTTTTCTATGTGTTGAAGCCAATCAACTCATAAACATTTCAATACTGTTTTAAAGGATAGAGTGTTTTTAAAAAAATTTACTCATTA